ATTAAAAAAAGAAAGAACAGTAAGATATATAATCCAGTGATCTTATCGATATTTTTATTTTTACAAAACGGTGCTCAATGTCAATTTACAAAGCATAAATATTATAAATTAACTGATTTAAAATATGGTTTCTTCGCTACACTGGAATTACTATGTTTCAAAGACCGAAGCTAAAAACTTCAAATTTAATTATATAATTAAAATGAAATCATTAGTTCTGTTTCATCTTGACCATGTAATTTCTGTGTAGCGAAGAAACCATATTTTAAATCAGTTAATTTATATATATATATATATATATATATATATATATATATATATATATATATATATATATATATATATATCAGGTAAAGAAAATCCGTGGGTAAGTAATCCAAATAGATCCTGTTAATGTAAAATATTAAAACGGATCCACAAAAGAGAGCTCAATATAATTTTTGTTATAGAGCATATAAGGGAATTACAGTTAATGCGATCCAAACAATTTAAGTAGTTTTTTCGCCGGACGTGCCAATGCAAATACAAACACTAAATTTTACTAAATGCATTTGCATTGCCAATTTCAAAAGGAAGCTGAATTCCTATGGATGAAATGATCATCTGTATGAGGTACATTGTTTGGATCTCATTAATTGTAATCCACACACTCCTACCACATACACATTATATATATTCGTGTGTGTATAAAATGAAGAAACATATATATATATATATAGATAGATAGATAGATAGATAGAGAGAGAGAGAGAGAGAGAGATTTATATACAGATGTGTAGATATTAATGTAAAAGCACTTATATGAAAGTACATCACACACATATTCATGCACACACACATTGATAAATACAAATACATACAGAGAGGCATATAATTTCCTCGCAAATTATATATACCATCAATCCACACATACACACGCATATACGTACACATACGTACACACTTGTATAAAAATATATATATAAAATATATATATATATATATATATATATATATATATATATATATATATA